TCCCAGCCCCGCCTTTCCCGCCGGGCCGCGTCCACGTGACTCCGCGCGCTCGGGCTCAATGAAATGCTCTGCAAGGGCTGCCAGCTCACCCAGTTTTCCATGAATTAGGTCCTGACACTTCAATGGGGGGAAGACAATGCCTGAGCCGCTGCAGCGCTGGCCGCCGGCCGAGTCCGCGTCAGAGCCTCCAGCAGCGCCCCCCCCAGGGCACCTCGCCGAACAAACCGGCCCTTGAGCGCTTTCAGGGCCGCCCACCCGCGCCAGGCCGCGCCCAGAAACTTTCCTGTTGTTGTTATTTGGATTGTTTTTATTTTTTTATGAATGGCTTTGGGAGAAAAATGCAGACGGAAGCACAATGCTACTGCCATTCATAAAAAGGGAAAGGAAACAAGCAGCTGTCTGGAAATCTTTTGGGAAACCAAGCAAACTGCAAGACTCTTGTCTCCCTTGAGGCATCTCCTGGCTAAGAACTAAATGTTGATACCTAGAAACCAGCTGCTCCTTAGGGTTCATACCCTTGCAAACATGGGTGATCACTATATTTTCATAAGAAAAACTGAATATCAATTATGCATGTTAATCTTTAGTGCCGTGAGCAGCATATTTTTCTGCATCTTAATAAATGAGTAATATTTTGCACATGCATTTCCCATATAAAAGCTTAAAATCCGCCCGGCCGGGCGTGGCTCAGCAGCTGAGCCTAGGATCCAGGAGATCCGGGTTCGATTCCTGGTCAGGGCACATGCCCAGGTTGCAGACTAGGCAGCCAATCAATGACTCTCTCATCATTGATGTTTCTCTCTCTCTCTCCCCCTCCTTCCCTCTCTCTGAAATCAATAAAGATATGTTTTTTTTAAAAAAAAGCTTAAAATCCTTTCCGTTTTTTAAAAAAGAAATTTTTACTGAGTTTCAGAGAGAGAGGAAGGGACAGGGAGAGAGAGAGAAACATCGATGTGCGAAGGGACATTCCTGGCTGTCTCCTNAGCTTAAAATCCTTTCCGTTTTTTAAAAAAGAAATTTTTATTGAGTTTCAGAGAGAGAGGAAGGGACAGGGAGAGAGAGAGAGAAACATCGATGTGCGAAGGGACATTCCTGGCTGTCTCCTGCACGCCCCCCTACAGGAGATGGAACCCCAACCACTAGGAAGCCAAACTTTTCGGTACATGGGAGGGCTCCCAACCAACTGAGCCACACCAGCCAGGGCTCCTTTCTGTTTTAAACATCTGCCCTTTTGTGATGGGAAGGACCCAGGCCTTAATATTTCCATCTGCTCACAGGGAAACTAAGGCACAGGGAATTTAAATAATTTCCCCAAGACCATTTTCTAAACCCGAGTCTCCTAATTCTCTTAATCCTGTGAATAGTGATCTGAGGAAACCCATTCTCATCCAAAAAACAAGTCAACTCTGATCTAATCCAGGAGGACAGCTATGCTTCATGGCCTTGATTGCTCCCTCTAAACTCTCCCCTGCCACTGCTGTCTCTCGGACGCCTTACTGCCACCACAGCCAGGGGAAGCCCCAGCTCCCTCACCGGGGCCCAGCTCTGTGCTCCTGGGTTGCTGACAAAAAGTGAACCCCAGAGGACAAGCGTTAGGCCCACAGACCCAGCTGCTCCCCCCATGAGACTCTCCCTTAGTTATCAACTGTGGAGAGTCTGAGGACATCCCTGATAAAGGCGTGGCTTTCATAACGACTGTTCTGCTGAACAGAGAGCAAAGCCCTCCAAGTTGCTTATTTAGACAGTTCTGAGATTCCATTTCTATTAAGTCTGTGCACATGGTAAGTCTGCAGAGTTTGGTCAACTTGGCACACAAAACTAACAGTGCCCCGAGATGCTGAGCTCTGTAGTTAAGAGATTGTTACACCTTTCAGAAGCCTGTAATGAAAACCTCTCATTACACTGCTGCACGTAAACTTCTAAAATACAGTGAAAGAGAGCTTCGTCCCAGAACAGAACATCAACAGCAAAGGACTCGGAATGCTTTGGATTAATATAATGTTAAAATAAAACTCCGAGGGGAACTAACAGACCCCGTCAATCAAACGTAGATTAAGAAGGGCCCTCTCAAACCACAGGGACGTGTAGTTCTCTGCGGGTTAATCCTTAGCCAAATTCAAAGTATAATCTTTAAGCAAATAAGTATTGTTGCCTGTAACTAGCTTAGGATACAGCATGTTAAGAAAGTGCAAAGGATACAAAAAAAGAAAGATCATTTTTGGATTTCTGAAACCATACAGCAAACCAGAATCTCTCCAAATGAAAGGAAAAATATTATTGAATTTTTAATGCCCACGGACTATTTTGGTTTTTTTTTCAGATTTTGTAGAAAGACGCTTGTGCAGGAAGTGGTCTGCCACCCATCTATTTCAGAATAATTAAGGGGTTCCCTATCCCTCCTGAGAACCCGGCCGATGGTTCCCGGGAGTCTAG